TTAGGCGTAAAATTTTTTTATTATACAGCTGCTTATTAACTAATAAACTAATATATTTGAGAGTTCGCATTTCGTTAAATATCACGGGATTTAGAGTTGACATGATTCCCGAAAATACTGAAAAGTTGCTCAAAGATTGTTGAATTGCCAGAACAGTTATTTTTCTGAGTATGTATTGGTGTCTAAAATTTGATTTAAAAAAAAAAACATTTAAAGAATTATAAATACCAAATGACTTTCAGTCTAAATTCATTTCCTCGTTAGCTTAAAAGCAGCTTTTCTCCAAAAAAGAAGAAAAAAAAGAAAAGAAAAAAAAACAGGAAAAAGGAAATTATAGTTATATATGTATAAGCAACTCACGTAGCACAGATTGTCACAGTGGCGTCATAATAAAGTCAAAAACTGTTCCAGCAGTCACAGGTGTGGTCGCTTTGAATTGTCTCAAGGAGGTTATAATGTGACTTTGATGTTACTTTGTCTTATGATATCACGTAAAAGTCTTCATAACTATTTATTGTGACTTTTGTCACTTAGTAGTCACAAAACTATTTTACTGAGACTAAAGCCACTTGGAAAATTTGGTGCCACTTTGTTGCAACTTTGATCCCCTGAAAGTCACGTGGTAAAAATTTCAAGTCTTGTCTTACTAAAGCTCCAGAAGTATTTTTTACGACTGGTGTTCTCATGTTTACTTTTTAATGAATTTGTTTCATTGAAGTCACGTGTATACTTTTAAGCAACTTGTCTCGCTTAAGTTATGATTCCACTCTACACAGAACAGTCATTTACATTATTTACAAGTCTTGTCAATACTTTTTTGTGATTAATATCTTACAGTTAAATACGTTAATCATAATAGAGTCGCAAATGGTCACAATGATTACATTCAAAAGTGTGACCTGCTTAAATATTTCCTAAAACGCTCATGCATGACTTAAAAAAAAATTTTTTTTCGTAAATGTATTCGTTTGAAAAAAATGCTTCTATAGAATATTACTCTATTCTCTAAAGCTCACTGTGTCAGAAAAAAGATTTTAAATGTTAAACATAACTTGTCCAAATATCAAACAATGTTTAAATAAATTTATTTCATATTATTTAATTGAAGAAAGAACTTGGATTTTTTTTTGAATAGTTTAAAATAGTTTTCCATTTGTTTATAAAATAGATGCCTACATTTTCTTTAAGATTTTGCAATTTCTTTAGACATTTTAAATTTTACATAACTTTAATATCCACTAACGGTCCTGATATGATTCATTGTATTCAAAAATATTATTACTGAGGGTGAAAACAATATTTCTATGTGAGCAAGTCTGTAAACAAAGCATTTTTGAAATCGTTTTATAATCTTTTAATTTTAAATGAAACGCTTTATTCGATTTTGAGTATATTTGTCAACAATTGATTATGTTTGCACTACACAGAATTGAAAAAAGAATTTTACTACAGAAAAATTCTTTTTACTACACTTACTACTGCTTTTTACTACGGAAAAGCTTTTTTAGCAAGTTTTATATGTTAAACGCTCTATGTTTTCACCAGCTATTAAATGTTTTAAGTTGTAGTTTAATTTATTGCATAAAGTTCAATTATTTGGTAAAAAGAGCGTAGCCAAAGCTTTAAAAATTGTGGTGAGCTTCCTTGGTGGTGATTTCGATAACCAAGAATGATTATTCAACTTAACCAATTCCGTTTTATTCTGAATTAATAGTTAATGTTCGATGATGCAAGTAAGAAATTATAGCATATAAAAGTGATGAGTTCTTATTTTCTTCTCTTGACGATATAGAGATTATGATATGGTACTTATTAAGTCAAGGATTTTTATTCACCTTTGATTTTTATTAAGCTGAAGTTATTTTGTTGTTAAAAGGTTCTTTTTAAATACTTTTCGAGGCTTTATTTTCAATTGCTAAGTCAACGTTATTTTATTGGAATCACATTTTTTCAGTGTTCCCTTCATTTTTATAATAATACATTCTTATCAACAACTATTACAAACACTGTTATACACATGGCTTTTATTTTCTAATTTATATTGCTTGAGCTTGTAAAATAATTAATTTATTTGCACATTTCTACAATATTTAGGGCTCCTTTTTTGATGAATTAATCAATTGATTAACAGTTAAGAAATTATATATAAATATATNTCATTTCAGTAATAAATATGTGTAGCAACATTTAAAATAATTAAACATAAAAAACTTAGTTTAGGGATTAAACTCTATACAATAATTCTTAAAATGTGTTCAAGTTGGGACAAAATGCTTTTAAAATTAAAATTTAAAACTTAAGTTTGCACCGAATATGCGGCTCAAAATCCGAATATTTAGTTTGGCTTTTTGTAATAAAATAAGACCGAATAGTTCGATGATTACTAGCATTTACATTTGCAATCAATTCGGTTGATATATTTTAAATAATAGAGTAATTAAATTATATGCGCATAAAATAGTAAGAAATTTTAAATATTTTAAAACATATTACATCATTTTGCTTTTAATATTAAATACAAATAAATTTTTGCTTTAATTAAATTATCTTAATTTTATAAATGAATCTAAACTTAATAAGCCTTTGATTTTAATAAAAGTGTGATATTCATGAAAATATAAGAAATGAGTGCTAGTTAAATTTTCAATTAAATTCAATTAAATTGATTCAATTAAAATTAAAACGTTTGACGCTAGGAGAATTAGGGAAAGATTTTCAAAAAAAGTATTATTATTTTTCTGATAGATTTAAGAACAGAGAAAATAACATTGATTATATAGCCAAAGGCAATTTAATATATAATGCTGTATATAATCTTTCATTTTAATAATAAATTTGAAAAGTAAATTATACTCTTCTACAAAAATTGCGTGCAAAATGTTTTAATTTACAAATAAAATAAAAAAGCTGTTCAAATTATTTTGTCTAAAAGCATCTTTAAAAAAAAATATTATTACAGATAACCAACCACCAATTTAATCTCAAAAGTTAGTGAATATCACTAAGAGTGAGAATGGATTATATGAAATCATTCAAAGTTGTTTTTTTTTTTTTTTGGATAAAATATTTCAAAATTTAAATCATGGATATTATTGTTAAGTTTAAAAAAAATTAAAAAATAAAATTTGTTAGCATTATGAATTAGCTGAGGTATTATTACAAGGTTTAAATTGAACGACTTATTGTTAGCCGAACATTCGGTAATCGACCAAAATATTGTCGCCCAGATCACACCTTTACCAGGTTGCGACAGTCACGGAGACTCATTTGTGATGTGAACTCTGTGACGTCGCTGAGACGGTTTTTGGAGGTTACTATGTCCACCTTTAATAACATCATTTCTGACGTCACTTAAACGTCAATATGAGACCGCATTGAGACATTTAGTCGTCGCAGTGACTTCATCATGTGACAAAGATGTGATCTATTCAAGTCTTAACATGGTCACGGTGTGATGAAACTGTGACATATTTTCGCCTCAACAGGGGCCCCGGGAGACAAAGATGTGACATATTGAAGTCTGAACTGGGTCACCATGTGACGAAGATGTGGCTTATACAACTCAACAAGTCATGACGTGACGAAATTGTGACATTTGCGTCTTAGTAGGGTCACCGAGCGACTCAGCTGAGACATGAATGTGTCGCATTCTTGTCACACAGTGACGTCACCGTGGCAGTTAAAAGTTTCATTGTGGTCTTATGTTGACGTCTGAATGACGTAAAAATAGGACGTCCTCAAAGGACGTAGTCCAATTACAAAAACCGTCGCAGAAGTCGCATGTGATATCACAAATGAGTCTCGGTGACTGTCGCTTTTTTGTTCAAATCTGGTATCTGGGAAGTATCTTACTGAAATTAAGATTGTATACAGTTCAAACAGAATATTATAAAAAATTCAACGAATCAGAGAAAAATAAATAAGAATGGAAAATGTAAAAGAATAACGTAAAAAGTAAAGAATTATGAATAAGAATAGGATAATAATTAAGATTAGAATAATAAATAAGAACGGAATAATAAGTAAAAATAGAATAACGAATAAGAATAATAAACAAACAAGAATAAAATTTGATACTTAAAGTAATATATGTGAGATATTGGAAATTATAATTCACCATGTGGCAATTTTTTAATACTATTACATCAATGTTAAAATGAACATCAAAATGACTGTAAAGTTCAAAGAATATAATTTACTTTCTTTCAACTATTAATATTAGTTAGGCAAGTATTTATTGATATCCTTTTTTTGCAATTTTATGCTTTTTGTGAATCATATATTTGGGATAATTCTCAGAAAATAAGACATCTGGAGAAAAGTTTAAATATAAAATATTCGAAACAGCTTATTTTTTTGAGGAGAAATATTCATTTATTAACTCTAATTAATATCTTATAGAAAGCAGTAAAATCTACAAACATTATGTAGTATGTAATTATTGTCTGGCATTCAGGTGCCAGGATAATGAATTTTTTTTTAAATTTTACTACTTTTACTTCCATGTTCATCCACTTCTAGGCCTCACATTTTCACTATTTGTTATTATATACAAGGAATAGAATGATGATTTAGAGAACAGAGGGCCAGAAAAATGACATATTTTCATGTTACATACAGATTAGTGACTCAAAAACTTAATTTTAAAGAATAATTTGGAAATCATACTCTCAAAAATGCTTTTAACAGTTAAAAATTAGATATGCATAGATACTTTTAAATCAAGTAATTGCTGAAAATATCACTGATGACAAGCCAGGAAAATGATATTTTGAAAATCAAAATACATTTTTACATACATACAATTTCATACAATTGTTAAAATCAGAGAAATAATCATTCAAGAAGGCCAATAAGATTAGTATTAATGATTTTCATTAACATTTAATTCAATTAAAAATCACCGTTTTATTGAATAAGGTTAGATTTCTGTGATAGTTACAGTAAATTGCCGTGTTTGATGAGTTATTAAATCATAATAATGTGAGGTTAAATCTTACCGCCATTTTGTTCTTCGATTTTGAAACCACGTTTTGACTTGTGCATCTGTCATTTTGAGTTGCTTGGCCAATGCTGCTCTTTCAGCGGACGCTAAATATTTTTGTTTATGAAATCTCTTTTCCAGTTCACAAATTTGCATTCTTGTAAAAGAAGTTCTTGGTTTTTTTCTTTTTGGTGGTGTTCGATTTTGATATGGATGCCCAATTCTTCTTGGTGTAACAGGGGGCAGACCTGGTGGAAGAGAAAAAGGCACTACGAGGATGTGAGTATTTAATTTTATGACTAATAATTATTTACAATTTTTAAGTAAATTATTTACAATTTTGTATTATTTCATATACACGGTAAAAACTGAGGTGCAATACTTATCAAAATTTGGTGCAGAAAAAAAATCTCAAGTTAATGTCGGATTGAGCTTTCATATATACTTTAAAGGGTGTAGTTAAATCTGAACACCAACAATTGATAAAAGCTTACACAAGCTCAGATGAGCTTCATTCATGAACTTATTTTTCCCAATGCTGCGTACGTCATATGGTCGATATTTTTTGTTTACAATCGAGCAGAGAAGGTTAAGTTTAACTTCGTCACTCACGATGATAAAATTATAAAAAGGTATGCAAAAGCAAAAGATTTTATTTAAAGAAAGCAAATTTTTAGTTGTCTCATAAGATGATTTACATAAATGTGTCAATTATATTAAATAATTTTTAATTTCCACCCACTTCCGTTTTGTCAAGCCAAGTTTAATTTTATATTAATAATCTATGCTGTGTGTGCATGTTTAAAAAACAAACCATATTTATTTAAAAAGATTTTATATACATATATGTATCCTAAATTAATAATTCTTGCTTTACATTCAATCGTAAAAATAACTTTACTGACTCTAATGTGTATCTTAACATTCTGGAATTATAAATTTTATTGTAACTGTATAATGAAAATTGAGGCAGTAGTAAAAAGAACATTGTTAATTTACACTGTATAAAGTAAAAATAAAAATAAAAAATGAAAACATGAAAAATTACGGAGAAACATTGAAAAAATTTGGTGTATAGTTGTCGTTATTTTAGGCGTTGAAATAAACGAACTACATTTTTAAGAACAAAATTGTAATTATCGTGCAAAAAATTATCCAAAATTGATTAAAAAAAAAGAATTGTTTGAAAGAATAACAGCTTATATACTACTGAAAATATTCTTGTTTCTTAAACGAAATGTTTTTGCAATGAAGTCATTATATTGATTTTAAATCACCCGAAAATATATGTGGTTAGAAAAACGAACAAAGGTAAGAATAAGTAATCAAAAAAGGGAAAAAGTAAATAAAAATTGTAACTCTGAAAAAACTTTAGTTTACCTCAACGCCAAAAAGTGTAAAATATTCAGAATATTTTGCACCTAGAATATTCATTACTTTTGGTGTGTTAAAAAATTTCTTAAATAAATAAAATATTAGAGCACACTATTTTTGCTGATTTTTGCGAGGACGAGATTCTATCTTCACATTGTTTTATTTTCTAATTTAAAGTAATAATACTCTTTTTTTTAAATTTTAATTATTCTTATAATTTTATATTTCTTTTTCATTTCTTTCCTTTTTTTCTTTCTTTGTATTTTCCCAGATATCGCACATTGCCTCAGTGACGTCGTAATAAATCAACAGTCACGATCACAACAGTCACAGTCACTGGTGTCGCCATTTTGAACTGTCCCAAGCAGGTCATAATATGAATTTAATGTTACTCTGTGGCCAGTGCTATCACATACCAGTACAAAAAAAATATCTCCATGACTATTTTTTTGTAACTTTTGTGACTCGATAGTCACAAACATACTTCACTGGATCATTGAGAAACCATGTTGTCAGTTTATTGCATCCTTTGAAAGTCAAAACGTCAGTCACGGAGACTCAGTTGTTAATTCCCATATGATTTCTGCGATGTCAATGCCTTTGTAATTCGGTGATTTCACCAGAAAACTATTTTACTTTGCATGATTTTTTTTGTAATGTAATAAGCATTAGTAGGTAAGAGGGCGATATAGTCAAGGATAGATGACCGTAATCGAATTAAAAGTACTAAGAATAACAGCTAAGAATTCGCTCATGGGCTGCAATAGTGGCATAACTCAAAAAACACGCGTTTTGGACTAAAAACTGGTGCAAACATGAAAATACACATTCTTTCTGCCACAATGCTAGCACAACTCATACTTCAGCTTGAAGGTAATTTTCGTTTAAGCAAACTAAAGCATTTCTTATACATTTTGCTAAGCAATGCAAACTTTAAACCCACTTTTCTCAAAACTTGATTCTTTTTGAGTTGTGAGGTAAACTAAAACTTTTTATAGTGCACGTAGTCTAATTTTTTTTACTTTTTTGCAGTTATCATTTTATTTATTTAACAAATACATTTCTAATTATATATGTGAACGAGTTCTTTTAAACAATAGGTTTTTTTTTGTCAATTTTATATAACTTTTTTACACGATAACTATGGTTCTGTTTCTAAAAATGTATTTATTTCAGCACCAAAATGGCGACAACTATACACCAAGTTTTGTACAGTGCGCGTCAAAAGCTGTTCAGGGTGACATTTTTTTTATTTAACACAATTTTAGAGTGACCCAGAAAACGAAACTCAATCTTGGTATTCCGAGGGTCTAATCTTATATGTGCTAATTAAATAGTGGAAATTTTAAGTGACTAGATTTCATGGTTAGAAATCACGCACAAAACTCTACTTTTTCTGAATAAATATACTTCTGATGAATGATTCTCAAAATATAAGAAACAATAGATAATTTCTTAAAAAATAAAGCTTAAATTTTATCATTTTATTATTATTTTTTTTTTTAAAAAAAAGCTTTACCTCAACAGGGGATTACCTTGGGGATCATGGAAGTTAGAGCCCAACAATTTTGTGACCTACGTCATGCTTTTTGGTTATGTGATCAGCATTGCTCACAGGCTACCTTATACTTCCCAGACAAGCTGGTACTCATTGATCTGAAGCTGTGTGTGTTTCAAGCCGTCACTGTTAATCGATTTCTTAATGACAGTCTTAAACACTGAGCTATTATGGATCTTTTTATTTAATAAGGGAAATATTTTATTGTCTTCGAATTTTTGCATCATTTATAACTAGGTAATTTTAAATAAGGAAATATAAATTTGAGCGAAATCGGTTGATTATTTCCAGAGTTATGAACTTTTAATATATTTTAAAAGTCGAGAATGCTGAGCTCAATATTTTGATGTTATCAATGGAATGAACTATTCTCAATGGGTGAGAACCATCAGAATAACGTTCCTATCGTGACGTCACTCAGATTAGTATTATTATTTAAGGCCACCTTATTAGTATTATTATTTTATTACGTATTAATAAATGTAATAAAATTATTATTATTTTTTTTACAATTTCATAGTTAGAGGTCTAAATGTGGACTTAAAATAGTTACGCGAAGTTAAGATCATCTTGGTTTCAACATGTTTGGCGGATACCATAATATAGTCAATATTGCAGCATGGTATTTCTATACTGAGTTTCAAAAACTTATTAATATGCTATTTAAGACGCTCCTTTTTTGGCACTTCAATCACATTGAAAAACAAATATGAAATTACAAATAAATTACTAATATCGCGCTGCTATACTTGCTGCTTATCGAGCACTACTTAAACATTAAATTAAAACTGCTCTGAAAGAGCAAAATAAGACATTGATGACAAATAGGAAAGTTGTTATTCTGAAAGATGATAATGGTTAGGTCATTCGACAACCTTACTAATATAGAACAAAACGTGTGTTCTGAGTAATTAAGATTTTTATATTTGGTCACATTTCTAATGAGTCTATCTTGATTGGAAACGACACTAGTCTGATTCGAATCACATAATATCGCGCCACAATCTTTAGAGCGGGGTCCACCTGTAATAGTGATTTTAACATTTGACAGTAAAAAAAATGGTATTTCTGTAGATTTGACGGTATAAACGGTATCTGCCCATAAAAGCACTCTATAACGATACAGTTATACACTAATAATGTAGATTTACAGAACTTTTCCATTAAGCTTGAAAAACTGATTTCCGTAAAATTATTAGGTATATTGAAGTTGAATTAAAATTGGTTTAAAGTAATTGCCCTATTTTAAGAGTTGAGATATATTAAAACTTATTACAGGCTGATCTAATATATATGTACAGTCGGGGAAAAATAGGATCACCTTTATAATGTGACGCTTATCGTCACTTAATTCAGAATCACAATAAAACATTTAAAATAGATTTATCGTAAATTGCAAAATAATTGATTAGATTTAAAATACTGTGGAAACTTCCATTAGTACATAGAACTTAAGCAAATACAAATAAACTCTCTTGATTAAAGTTAAGAAATACGTGTCGGAAAGGGTTAATCAGAAGTCTATAGTCCAAGTTTGATCTCTTGTGTGACCTTTCCAGAATTTAGCAATAGTTTTATCTTGCAAAAAGTTTAGTATAAAAGATCAACAAAAACAGTAGTAGCAGTAAGAGTAGAGAGAGTAGAACCGAGTCATTTTGAGGTTCACCAACTTCCAATATGAACATCAGTATGGGTAAGTTCTCTCCATGCCAATTAGTTTATTTGTTGCTAATCAAAGCCTTTTAATTAGTTTAATTTGTTATATAAATTTGTATTTGATTAAAGCTTTGTCAATTTAAGTATTTTAAATAGTTGAGGTATGTAAATTAATTCGACAATATATGCATAAAATAAACGATCACTGGTTATAATTAATAGTAGTAGTTGTGTCTGTACACCACCGTAACAATAACTTCCAAACGGTGTATCGGATTTTCGTTTTACAATGTGTTATGACGTTATCTCAAAGATACATTCTAAAATATGTAACAGTTAACTGTAAGCGTGGAGGAATATGTTTTTGACACAGAAACATACCCTTTTCGAATTCGGCTTCATTATCTCCGAAACAAAGGGAATAAACTTTTAAAAGTTCATATATTTCGAATTATCCGTTAAATTATATAAGTTCTTTCACAAAAAGTTAAAAGCCCTCAAACAAGAGTGAGTTGCAAGCATGAGTACCTCACCAACTGCGCTTGGAATCGGTTGCTTGATTTGCATCCTTCGGCTACAGTTGTTTTTCTAGTTTTGTCTATCACGTTTATTTATTTTTTTCGTTGGCAACATTCAATCTGAGGAATCTTGAGTTGAAGTTTTTCTGAAATCATTTTAAAA